TTGCCCAGGCTGGAGTGCAGTGGTGCAATCTTGGCTCACTGAATCTCCGCCTCCCAAGTTTAAGCAATTCTCCTGCCTCAGCCTCCTGAGTAGCTGGGATTACAGGCACACCCCACCACACCCAACTAATTTTTGTATTTTTAGTAGAGATAAGGTTTCACCATGTTGGCCAGGCTGGTTTGAACTCCTGAGTTCAAGTGATCTACCCACCTTGGCCTCCCAAGATGTTGGGATTACAGGTGTGAGCCACTGCGCCTGGCCAAAACAGCTATTTTGAATTCTGTTTCAAAGGTCACATATCTCTGTTTCTCTGGGATTGGCCCCTGGTGCCTTATTTAGTTCATTTGATGAGGTCATGTTTTCCTGGCTGGTCCTGATGCTTGTAGATGTTCATCAGTGTCTGAGTTAAATATTTATCATAGTCTTCGCAGTCTGGGCTGTATCTGTCCTTCTTTGGAAGGCTTTTCAGGAATTCAAAGGAACGTGGGTGTTGTGATCTAAGTTTTTGGTCACTGCAGCTGTATCTGCATTAGAGGGCACACTAAGCATAGAAATGCTGTGGCTCTTTCATAGTCTGTTGTATGTTTTTTGATTTGAGGTCACCATGATGTTTGCAGATAATATTTTATTACTCATTATTTTAAACCGCTGACAAGTTAACACTGATTACTCATGGAAGCACTGCCTTGGTGGTCTTGGATAAGATCTGGAAGAATTCTCTGGATTACCGGGCAGAGACTCTTATTGTCTTCCCTTCTTTCCCCCAAACAAAGTCTGTCTTTCTGTGATCAGCTGCCTGGAGTTGGGGGAGAAGTGACACAAACACCCCTGTGACCACCACCACTGGGACTGTGCAGGGTCAGAGGTGAAGCCAGCACAGTACTGGGTCTTGCCCAAGGCCTACGGTAACCAGTACCTGGCTACTACTTACGTTCACGCAAGGCCCTGTGGCTCTAAAATCAGCAGGTGGCAAAGCCAGCCAAGCTTATGTCCTCTTCAGGGTGGCAAGTTCCCCCCAGCCTGGGGTGAATCCAGAGATGCCTTCCAGGAGCTAGGGCCTAATCAGAAACCTTAGGAATCTACTTGGTACTCTATTGTACTGCAGCTGAACTGGCACCCAAGCCACAAGACAAAGTCCTTCCCACTTTTCCCTCCCCTTTCCACAAGCTGAGAAGTATCTTCCCATGGCCACTTCCACCCCAGGCCTGTGATGGGTACTGTCTGGCTACTGCTGATGTATACTCAAGGCGCAAGGGCTCTTCAGTAAGCTTGTGGTGAATGCTGCCTGGCCTGGGACTCACCCTTCAGGGAAGTGGGCTCCCCTCTGGCCCAGAGCAGGTCCAGGAATGCTATCTAAGAGCCAAAGCCTGGAATCAGGGACCCTAAGAGCCCACTTTGCATTCTAACCCCACAGTGGCCAAGTCCCCTTTACTCTTTCCTCTTCTTTTCTCAAGCAGAAGGAATTTCTCCCCATAGCCGCCACAGCTGGAATGTGCTGGGTCATCCTGAAGCCTGCATGTCTCTGAGTCTCACCTAAAGCCCACGATGAGTACTACCTGGCTACTTCCGATTATTCAGGGCCAAAGGGCTCGTTAGTCAGCTGGGGAGGAATCCTGCCAGGACTGGTCCTGCCCTTCAAGGCAGCAGGTTCCCTTCTGGCCCAGGGTGTGGCTAGACATGTCAGCTTGGAGCTATGGCCTGGAATAGGGGCCTCAGGACTCTGCCTGGTGCCCTATCCTACTGCAGCCAAGCTGGTATCCAAGATGCAAGACAAAGTCATCTTTGTTCTTCCCTCTGTTCTTCTCAAGCAGAGGAAAGAAGTCTCTCTCTGAGCTTTGAGCTCCGCTGCCTGGGGTTGGGAGACGGGTGGTGCAGGCGATCCCTTGGCCATCCCAGCTGGTGTCTCACTAGGTTGTGTACCCCACATTCACTGGCTCTGAGCCCAGCACAGCACCAGGACTTGCCCAGGAATTGCCATCCTTGTGGCCTAGACTGCCTTTCAAGTTTATGTAGAACCTCAGAGCACTTCAGCCCATGGTGGTGAGGCTTACTGGAACTCAGGTTCCCACTGCTGGGATGGATGATTTGCTTCCAGCTAGGGCTGGTCTGAATGATCCTCCATGGGCCCTGGGTGAGTTCTTTCCAGTGTTGCTTTGTGCTATGACTGGGCAGCACTGAGTGCCAGTGCAAAGTCTGACAATCACTGCACTCTTCTTCTCCCAGAAGCACAGATTCTCTCTCCATGCTAGGTGGCTGCTGCCGGGGAATGGGGGAGAGAGAGCATTTAGCAATTCAAGACTGTCTTACCCTCTTCAGTTCCTCTTTCAGTGATATGAAGTTAAAACCAGGTACGGTGATCGCTCACTTGATTTTTCGTTCTTATGAAGGTGCTTTTTTTGCATGGATAGTTATTCAATATGGTGTTCCTGCAGGGAGCAGGATTAGTGGAGGCTTCTATTCAGCCATCTTGCTCTACCTTCCCTGGCTATGTCCTTTTAAATATTTATAATTGACATACAATAAATTACACTTAAAGTATACAATAAGTTCTAAAATATAACTGTGAAATCATCATCAAACTCTAGATAATTAACATATCCATCAACCCAAAAGTTTCCTCATGTTTAGATGATCTCTTTTCCCTCTAGAAACGACTCATCTACTTTCTGTCATATAGATTATAGTTTGCCTTTTCTGGAGTTTTAGATAAACAGAATCATATCGTATATGCTCTTTTCTGTCTGACTTCTTTTACTTACCATGATTATTTCATCCATGTTACATGTATCAACAGTTTTTTCCTTATTTGTTGATGATAATATTTCATTGTATGGATATATACTCCAATGGGTTTATTCATTTACCTGTTGATGTGTGTTGGATCGTTTCTAGTTTCAGCTATCACAAATAAAACTGCTGGAAACATTAATGTCCAAGTCTTTGTTTAGACATATGCTTTCGTTTTCTCTTGGGGAAATACCTTGGGTGGAGTGGCTGGATCTAATGGCCAGTGTATGTTTAACTTTATAAAGAGCTGTCAAAGTGTTTTCCTTTTTTTTTTTTTTTTTTTTTGAGACAGAATCTTGCTCTGTTGCCCAGGCTGGAGTATGGTGGTGCAATCTCAGCTCACTGCAACCTCTGCCTCCCAGCTTAAAGTGATTCTCCTGCCTCAGCCTCCTGAGCAGCTGGGGTTACAGATGCCTGCCACCATGCCCAGCTAATTTTTGTATTTTTAGTAGAGACAGGGTTTCACCATGTTGACCAGGCTGGTCTCATGCTCCTGGTCTCAAGTGATCCGCCCGCCTTGCCCTCCCAAAGTGCTCAGATTACAAGTGTGAGCCACCATGCCCAGCCCAAAATTGTTTATACCATTTTATATTCCCACCAGGATTGTATGAGAGTTCCAGTTCTTCTAAATTCTTGCCAACATTTACTATTTTGAATAAATGTTCATTGTAAAAAAATTTTAAGAAGGTTATATAGGGGAAAAAAAGGCCGCTGTTAATCTGTTAATTGCACTACAGGGAGACAAAGTTATTAAACTGTCATATTTGTGGCTGGGCGTGGTAACACATGCCTGTGATCTTAGCACTGTGGGAGGCTGAGGAAGGAGGATCACTTGAGACCAGGAGTTCAAGACCAGCCTGGAAAACATAGCAAGAGTCTGTCTCCACAAAAAAATTAAAAATTAAAGAAAATGACATTGTCATGTTTGTAGACTTCCCAAATTTGCCCTCCTAGGCAAACAGTGCTCTTGTTTTTAAACAAATAGTTGTATATATAATTTTCACCCTCACTATTCAAAACATGTCATAAATGGTAAATCCAAGAAAAATACAGGTGTTCCCCACCCACCGAAAACTGTAAAATAGACTTTTTTCTGTCTGTACTGTTTTTTATTGCTTTTTAAATTGGTTTTCCAAGTGAGTAAGTCAGAATCTATCTGTAATGAATTTTAAATTTAGTATTTCTCTGTGATGTAGTAAACAAGAAACTAGAGGCAAAAATAGCCCTGTCCCTTGCTAAACTTCTAAGGCACGTTTCTAGTACAATTCAACACTAACATTTCAGGCCTTTAGTGCCTTATATGAGTTTTTAAAAGGGGAAGAAGGGAGGGAGCAAGAGTGTCTCATTTCATAAACTTGTGCATAACAATTATTCTTATATTTTAGTTATTGAGAGGGCTGGTAGAAAAACTAGGTAAATAATATTAATAATTATAGCACTTATTATACACTACAGAACACGTATTATGTACCAGGCATTGTGGGAGGCTCTCTCTTGTGCATTATCTCATTTCATTAGGTCCATGGAGAGTATTGCATTTTCTTAGTTTAGGCATGGCCTCCACAATAAGGATTATCAAAAGCCTAAAAATATGTAAAAGAAACCTAGAAGGTTATTTGTTGTGCTCCTTGGGGAAGCTAGGCAAATCCTTTCAGCTGAAAACCATGGTGACTTCCAAGATCTCTGCCCCTCCCCATCCCCATGGTCCACTTCCTCTTCTCACTGTTCCTCTTAGAAAAGACCTGTGGATTCCGCCACTACGAAATGGCAGCACCTTATTTACGGTCACTTTAGAGTGTAGGTTTTCTTAATGGGTCTGCCTGTCATGTTTAACGTCCTTGGCTGAGTCCAAACTCTCACTAAAATTGCCAAGCCCTTTGTCTTCCAGTGTCTAAATTATGAATGTCAATGGAATCAGGCCAGAGTTTGAATTCTAGTCTCTTAGCCTTTGTTTCCCCTGTTCATAAAACGAATGGGGGAATTCTTTCCTCCTACAGTTTATTTATGTATTCACTAATTCATTCATCCATCCATCCATTCATTCATTCAGTTTACTGAGTACCTACTATGTGCCAGTCCCTGTTCTAGGGTGGAAACTAAGAGAATGTTGTACCTGGAGGGCGCTGGAAACTCTAAAGCCCTAAGCAGTTACTGCTTTTACTATTAGTGGTTCTACCCCACCCCCCACAAATCAACAGAACAAAGAAAATTACCTAAATAACAAGGACACAGGGAGGAACTTCTTGGCTCAGAACTTTCCAAACACTTTTTCCTGAAGGGATTCAAGAAGCAAGAAAGGTACTCGTTCGCTAGGACCTTCTCTGAGCTGTCCTCAGAATGCATCTGGGACTATTTTTCTTGCCCAGAGAATCGAGAAACGCTGCAGCGAATTCCCGAGCTGTAGTTATAAACCGAAGTTCTCCTGCTAGGTAGCATTCAACGATCTTAATCTTCTGGGTTTCAGTTTTCTCGAATGAAAAATGCAGGTCCAAGTCCTTAACTGGCTGGGGCACCATTAGCAAGTCACTTAGTATCTCTGGGACCAGTTTGCAATGCGAGGAGGGGGCCTTAAGGTGCCTCCAGCTGAAGTCCTAGAATGAGCGCCGCGTGTCCCAAGCTGGGGCGCGCACCCCAGATCGGAGGGCGCCGATGTACAGGCAGCAAACCCACCCAATCTAGTGCATGCCTTCTTAAACATCACGAGACTCTAAGAAAAGGAAACCGAAAACGGGAAATTCCCTCTCTCTAACCTAGCACTGCGTCTCTCGCTTGGAGACTGGTGACGGTCCCCGCGGGCCTTGCCCTGATTGGCTGGGCGCGCGCGGAATATAAGTGGAGGCGTCGCGCCCGGCGGGCATTCCAGCGGCGGACAGCACCCGGGCCGAGATGTCTCGCTCAGTGGCCTTAGCCGTGCTGGCGCTACTCTCTCTTTCTGGCCTGGAGGCTATCCAGCGTGAGTCTCTCCTACCCTCCCGCTCTGGTCCTTCCTCTCCCGCTCCGCACCCTCTGTGGCCCTCTCTGTGCTCTCTCGCTCCGTGACCTCCCTTCTCCAAGTTCTCCTTGGTGGCCCGCCGGGGGGCTAGTCTAGGGCTGGGTCTCCGGGAAGCGGTGGGGTGGCCTGGGAGTGGGGAAGGGGGTGCGCATCTGGGACGCGCGCTTCTTGCCCCTTTCGGCGGGAAGCAGGGGAGACCTTTGGCCTACGGCGACAGGAGGGTCGGGACAAAGTTTAGGGCGTTGATAAGCGTCAGAGCGCCGAGGTTGGGGGAGGGTTTCTCTTCCGCTCTTTCGCGGGGCCTCTGGCTCCCCGAGCGCAGCTGGAGTGGGGGACGGGTAGGCTCATCCCAAAGGCGCGGAGCTGAGGGCCGTGAATGCGTGGAGGGGCGCCTGGGGTCTGGGGGAGGCGTCGCCCGGGTAAACCTGTCTGCTGCAGCTCTGCTTCCCTCGGACCAGAGAGCTGTGGACTTCGCTAGGAGCCGCTAAGTTCGCCTGCCCTGCACCTCCGGGTCTATGTGGGGCCACACCGTGGCGGGGAAAGAGCACGCGACGTTTGTAGAATGCTTGGCTGTGATACAAAGCGGTTTCGAATCATTAACCTATTTGTTCCCATCACATGTCACTTTTAAAAATCATAAGAACTACCCGTTATTGACATCTTTCTGTGTGCCAAGGACTTTACGTGCTTAGCGTCATTTAATTTTTTAAAATAGTTATATTCCGCCATAGATAACTACTATGGTTATCTTCTGCCTCTCACAGATGAAGAAACTGAGGCACCGAGATTTTAAGAAACTTACACAGGGGATAAATGGCAGCAATCGAGATTGAAATCAAGCCTGACCAGGGCCTTTTGCGGGAGCGCATGCCTTTTGTCTGTAATTCGTGCGTTTTTTTTTAAAGAAACATGCCTGCCTTCTGCGTGAGATTCTCCAGAGCAAACCGGGCGGCCATGGGCCCTGTGGTCTTTTCTTACAGAAGGCTTCCTTTTTGGCTCTTTGCCTGGTTCTTTCCGAGATGTAGTGTGCCTCTTACTTTCGGTTTTGAAAACATGAGGGGGTTGGGCGTGGTAGCTCACGCCTGTAATCCCAGCACTTAGGGAGGCCGAGGCGGGAGGATCGCTTGGGGTCAGTAGTTGAGACCAGCCTGGCCAACATGGTGAAAACTCGTCTCTATAAAAAATAAAAACAAAAATTAGCCAGGTGTGGTGGCTGGCGCCTGTGGCCCAAGCTACTCGGGTGGCTGAGGCGGGAGGATCTCTTGAGCCCAGGAGTTTGAGTTATCATGGCGCCAGTGCATTCCAGTCTGGGCAACTGAGCGAGACCCTGTCTCTTAAAAAAGACAAAAAAAAAAAAAAAAAAAAAAAAAAAAGAAGAAGAAAGAAAAAAGTGAAGGTTTGTCGAAGTCAGGGGAGTTGTAAAACCATTAATAAAGATAATCCGGCCGGGCGCGGTGGCTCAAGCCTGTAATCCCAGCACTTTGGGAGGCCGAGACGGGCGGATCACGAGGTCAGGAGATCGAGACCATCCTGGCTAACACGGTGAAACCCCGTCTCTACTAAAAAATACAAAAACAAAAAAAAAAACAAAAAAAAAACTAGCCGGGCGACGTGGCGGGCGTCTGTAGTCCCAGCTACTCGGGAGGCTGAGGCAGGAGAATGGCGTGAACCCGGGAGACGGAGGTTGCAGTAAGCTGAGATCCGGCCACCGCACTCCAGCCCTGGCGACAGAGCGAGACTCTGTCTCCAAAAAAAAAAAAAAAAAAAAAAAAAAAAAAAAAAAAAAAAAAAAAAGATAATCCAAGATGGTTACCAAGACTGTTGAGGACACCAAAGATCCTGAGTACTTTCTAAATACCTGGCAATATGCTAAGCCCTCTCACCTTTTCCCCCTGGCAAAACATGATCAAAAGCAGAATGTTTTGATCATGAGAAAATTGCATTTAATTTGAATACAATTTATTTACAACATAAAGGATAATGTCTATATCATCACCATTACTGGTATTTGCTGGTTATGTTAGATGTCGTTTTAAAAAATAACAATCAGATGTTTTTAAAAAAATCTTATTTTGAAAATTTCCAAAGTAATACATGCCATGCATAGACCATTTCTGGAAGATACCACAAGAAGCATGTAATGGTGATTACCTCTGAAGGTCTATTTTCCCCTCTGTCCTGTGTGTGGTTTTGTTTTGTTTTACTGTGGGCATAAATTAATTTTTCAGTTAAGTTTTGTAAGCTTAAATAACTCTCCAAAAGTCACAAAGCCAGTAACTGGTTGAGCCCCAATTCAAACCCAGTCTGTCTGATACTTGTCCTCTTCTTAGAAAAGATTACAGTGATGCTCTCACAAAATCTTTCTGCCTTCCCTCAAACAGAGTTCCAGGCAGGATGAATCTGCGCTCTGACCCCTGAGGCATTTATTATGTTCTTATTATTAGAAGCTCAGTTGCAAAGAGCTCTCTTAGCTTTTAATGTTATGAAAAAAATCAGGTCTTCATTAGATTCCCCAATCCACCTCTCGATGGGGCTAGTAGCCTTTCCTTGATGATAGGGTGTTTCTAGAGAGATATATCTGGTCAAGGTGGCCTGGTACTCCTCCTTCTCCCCACAACCTTCCAGACATGATAGAGTAGCTGCCTTTTAGGATCATGTACCCTGAATATAAGTGTATTTAAAAGAATTGTATACACATATATTTAGTGTCAGTCTGTATATTTAGTAGCACTAACACTTCTCTTCATTTTCGATGAAAAATATAGAGTTTATAATATTTTCTTTCCACTTCCCCATGGATGGTCTAGTCATGCCTCTCATTTTGGAAAGCACTGCTTCTGTAACATTAGGCAATGTATTCCCAACCTGGCTAGTTTACAGCAATCACCTGTGGATGCTAATTAAAACGCAAATCCCACTGTCACATGCATTACTCCATTTGATCATAATGAAAACTATGTTCTGTCCCATATGCCATAGTCCTCACCTATCCCTGTTGTATTTTATCTGGTCCAACTCAACCATTTAAGGTATTTGCCAGCTCTTATATGCATTTAGGTTTTGTTTCTTTGTTTTCTAGCTCATGAAATTAGGTACAAAATCAGAGAGGGATCTGGCATATAAACCCTCGGCAGAAATAAAGAGGTTTTGTTGTTTGGTAAGAACATACCTTGGATTGGGCCGGGCGCAGTGGCTCATGCCTGTAATCCCAGCACTTTGGGAGGCCAAGGCAGGCAGATCACTAGAGGTTGGGAGTTCGAGACCAGCCTGGCCAACATGGTGAAACCCCGTCTCTGCTAAAAATACAAAAATTAACCGGGCATGGTGGTGTGTGCCTGTAGTCCCAGGAATCACTTGAACCAAGGCAGAGGTTGCAGTGAGCTGAGATCTCGCCACTGCACTCCAGCCTGGGCAACAGAATGAGATTCCATCTCAAACAAACAAACAAACAAACAAAAAACCAACAAAAACAACAAAATAAAACATACCTTGGGTTGATCCGCTTAGGAACCTGAGGTAATAATAACAACATCTGCCACGTATAGAGCAATTGCTATATCCTAGGCACTCTTCTAGACACTTAATACAGTTTAGAAAATCAGGTGGGTGTAGATCGAGGCAGGAGCAGGAACCAAAAAGAAAGGAGTAAACATAAGGAAAAAAAATGGAAGGGGTGGAAACAGAGTACAGTAACATGAGTAATTTGATGGGGCTATTATGAACTGAGAACTGACCTTTGAAAAGTAGCTTGGAGCCAAATCATGTAGACTCTTGAGTGATGTGTTTAAGAATGCTTTGAGTGCTGAGAAGCCATCAGAAGTGCTTGAGAGCATCCAGAAAAAGGTTCTTAAAAATGCAGCACAATCTCCAGTGACAGAAGATACTGCTAGAAACCTGCTAGAAAAAAACAAAAAAGTCATGTATAGAGGAATTATGAGGGAAAGATACCAAGTAATGGTTTATTCCTCAAAATGGAGGTGGCTTGTTGGGAAGGGGGAAGCTCATTTGGCCAGAGTGGAAATGGAATTGGGAGAAATCGATGATCAAATGTAAACACTTGGTGCCTGATGGAGCTTGAGACCAAGTTAGCCCCAAGTGAAATACCCTGGCAATATTAATGTGTCTTTTCCCTATGTTCCTCAGGTACTCCAAAGATTCAGGTTTACTCACGCCATCCACCAGAGAATGGAAAGCCAAATTTCCTGAATTGCTATGTGTCTGGATTTCATCCATCTGATATTGAAGTTGACTTACTGAAGAATGGAGAGAAAATGGGAAAAGTGGAGCATTCAGACTTGTCTTTCAGCAAAGACTGGTCTTTCTATCTCTTGTACTACACTGAATTCACCCCCAATGAAAAAGATGAGTATGCCTGCCGTGTGAACCATGTGACTTTGTCAGGGCCCAGGACAGTTAAGTGGGGTAAGTCTTACATTCTTTTGTAAGCTGCTGAAAGTTGTGTATGAGTAGTCATATCATAAAGCTGCTTTGATATTAAAAAAAGTCTATGGCCATACTACCCTGAATGAGTCCCATCCCATCTGATATAAACAATCTGCATATTGGGATTGTCAGGGAATGTTCTTAAAGATCAGATTAGTGGCATCTGCTGAGAGATTGCTGCACAACATGGTTTCTGAACCAGTAGTTTCCCTGCAGTTGAGCAGGGAGCAGCAGCAGCACTTGCATGAATACATATGCACTCTTAACGCTTCTTACCTACTGGCTTCCTCTAGCTTTTGTGGCAGCTTCAGGTATATTGAGCACTAACGAACATCTCAAGAAGGTATAGACCTTTGTTTGTAAGTCCTGTGTATCCTAGCGTCCTATAATCCTGGACTCCTCCAGTACTCTCTGGCTGGATTGGTATCTGAGGCTAGTAGGAAGGGCATGTTCCTGCTGGGTAGCTCTAAACAAGGTATACATGGATAGGAACAGCAGCCTATTCTGCCAGCCTTATTTCTAACCATTTTAGACATTTGTTAGTACATGGTATTTTAAAAGTATAACTTAATGTCTTCTTTTTTCTTTCTCCACTGTCTTTTTCATAGATCGAGACATGTAAGCAGCATCATGGAGGTAAGTTTTTGACCTTAAGAAAATGTTTTTGTTTCACTATCCTGAGGACTATTTATAGACAGTTCTAACAGGATAACCCTCACTATGTGGAGAACATTGACAGAGTAGCGTTTTAGCAGGCAAAGAAGAATCCTACAGGGTCACATTCCCTTCTCCTGTGGTGTGAAGAAGGTGTGTGGCCCCGGGTGTGGCCGCATTACTGACCCTCGACAGAGAGGGCAAAGGAACTGCCAGTATGGTATTGCAGGATAGAGGCAGGTGGTTACCCACATTACCTGCAAGGCTTTGATCTTTCTTCTACCATTTCCACATTGGACATCTCTGCTGAGAAGAGAAAATGAATCACTCTCTTCCTTTGTATAATAGTTGTTTTATTCTTCAGACAGAAGAGAGGAGTTATACAGTTCTGCAGACGTCCCATTCCTGTGTGGGGACTGTGTTTGGCCAGTCTTAGAGGCTCCCAGGCCACTAGATGAGATAAAGGGAACCAGATTGTTAAAACTTGATGTAGTGATACTACAATAGATGTAACTACAAAGAACTCCAGAAGCAAGAGAGAGGGAGGAACTTGGACTTCTCTGCATCTTTAGTTGGAGTCCAAATGTATAAGATCCAGCTTTTCAGTGAAATTCTACTGCCCAGGGTGCTTTGATGCTGAAAACCCATTCAAATCTCCTGTTATATTCTAGAACAGGGAATTGATTTGGGAGAGCATCAGGAAGGTGGATGATCTGCCCAGTCACACTGGTAGTAAATTGTAGAGCCAGGACTTGAACTCGAATATAGTCATGTGTTACTTAATGACGGGGACATATTCCAAGAAATGCTTACACAAACCTAGGTGTTGTAGCCTACTACACACATAGGCTACATGGTCTAGCCTATTGCTCCTAAGCTACAAACCTGTACAGCCTGTTACTGTACTGAATACTGTGGGCAGCTGTAACACAATGGTATTTGTGTATCTAAACATAGAAAAGGTACAGTAAAAAGTATGCTATTTTAATCTCATGAGACCACTGTCATATATACAGTCCAGCACTGACCAAAATATCATATCAGCATTTTTTCTTCTAAGATTTTGGCAGCACCAAACGGATACACTAACAGGATATACTCTTTGTAATGGGTTTGGAGAACTGTCCGTAGTTACTTCTTTTAAAAAGGTGATCTACACAGTAGAAGTTAGACAGGTTTGGTAA